TAAATGTGTTGTCTACGCAACATGAACATGCAGTCCTAGACGAGTGGTTGGCTTGCAGGAAACTTTTTAAAGGCTTAAGGTGGATAATACCTTCCCTGCCAGCACAAATGGCAGCAGCCATACCTCTGTTTAGTTTCCCAATTTGGATAAACAACAATTTAACCACCTTTAATGCCTTTTTACTGAAAGATGTAAGAACCTGAGCTCTTTTATACCTTTGGTAGGGATGAAGGGATCACCCTAATGGTTGAGAATGTTCTTTTAAGGAAGAGTTCAGAAGTGTGTTAACAGGCTGCAGCAGATAACTCTCTGATTGTTAATCATTCGCTGTAAATCCAGAGTAGCTGGTCCTGAAGGACTGAAAAGCTACAGGCTAATCAGAGAGATGTTGAAACCAGTTTTCATCCATTTTAAAGCAACGTTGGTTATAAAAACTTCACAGCAGTAGCTAGCATGTTGCCTTAAATCATTATGTTCACAATAGAGGATTGTTTGCAGAGAGGTTGATGATTATTTACACAGGATATGGAGGTAGGAGGCAGTGCGCCACCCATGGTCTTCCTGTGTGAAGCGTGTACTGAGTGCCGAGCATAGAGGGGATTTCCATTCAACCTAGCTGCCTGACACAAAAATAAAGCTTTGGAAAAGCTTAAATATTTTTACCTCTACTTATTGTTTTCTGCTTTATCTGGGACCGGATTAAATGGGCAGCGGTCTCAGAAAAGACTCCCAGATTTTGCTGTCCCCAGAAAAGAAGCCTAAGGCCAACAGAGAGACACCTTCTGCAGGATGCTCAAGGGTTCATTGGAGTTTTCCCAACCAGTCAATATGTGTTCTGTAGACCTGTAGAAGGCATTCGATCGTTTCCCATGTGGTGTCTGGAGGCGCTCCTAAAGAACAGATTTGGGGCCCTTTACTAGGGACCATCCAGACTCTATACAAGTGGAGCAGGAGTTTGGTCCGCATCACCAGCATTAAGTTAGACCTGTTCTTGTTGCATGTCAGACTCCGACTGGGCTGCCCTCTCTAACTGATACTGTTCTTAGCATTTATTGGAAGGATTTATAGGCACAGCCAATGGCTATAGGGGGTCTGGTTTGGGGACCAGTTGAATCTGCTTTTTGCAGATGATGTGGTTCTGCTGACACCCTCCTGCCAACACCTACAGCATGCACTGGGGAGGTTCCTCGCTGAGTGTGAAGAGGCTACGTGTCAGGATTTGATATAGATTGCTGACCCAAAAGCAGAGGCAGGAAGGCAGAGGTTAATTTCTTGGTGATTTAACAAAGGTTTACTGAAAACAGAGATAGGTAATCCAAAAAGAAAACAAAGTCCAAACTAACAGGAAACCAGGAGAGGAGTCCAAAAATCCAAAAATCAAAACAAGAAAACAAATCAAAATGAACCAGAAAGCATGGAGACATCAGGGGGATAACTATCACATGGTGGAAGGCTCAGAGAGATGAAGTTAGAGGAGGTTTGACGTGGAACCAGCACTGAAGAACTGCACAGAGTATTTATGGGAGACTGAAACAGAGGGAGAGCTAACGAGCAGATTAGGAGCAGGTGTGAGGAGCAGAAACAAGAAAGGGGCAAGGGAAAAAAGAACTCAAGAGGGCAGCAGAGGGCAAAAAAAAAAAAAACCTGAGAACTGAAAATAACCAGAAAACACAACAAAAAAATAAGAATTAAACCACTAAGGCTATAAAACATGGAGTAAAGCAAAACTGAACACTCAAAAGAAAAACATAACAGAGCCAAGACTAAGACAGAAACTGAGAAAAAAACCAAAGAACACAATAAAATAAGAATTAAACCATAAAAAACTAGAAAACAAGGAGCAAAGCAAAACTGAACATCCAAAATAAAAAAAAAAACATAACAGAACCAGAACTCTAACACTACGATGAGAATCTGCTCCTCAGAGTAAGAGGCCAAACCCTATGGGTTAAAGGAGGGTTTTTGCATCAATTGGAGTAATTCAATATCTCAGGATCCTGTTTAAGAGTGAGGAGAGAATGGAGCGAGATCTGTCTATAATACGGATGCTGCACTGGTCAGCTGTGTGGA